AAAAAGAGGGGGTAACTGTGTCAGTCCAAAGATACCTGAAGAATTGTCCTGTGCTGACTAACAGCAGAAAAGTTTCCAGTTGATTTAAAGTCAAGTGTTTCGCAATGTAGTTACAAAAATCATTAAGTGCCTATTTTGTGTTTGGCCCCATGGTAATACTAATAATGATTATGACAATAATAACAAAATATATTAAGCAATCATTTTTTTTACCTGTCATTCTTTGAAGTATTATCTCATTTACTTCTCCCAGAACCCAGTAAGGTAGTTAGCATTATTATCTCTAGTTTACAGATGAGGATATACTGAGTTTGCAGTGTTTAACTCATCCACAGTCACATTACTATTTGTGGTGGAGGGGTGATTTGAACCCAACCTATTTGACTGATTTTTTAACCAGATTGTTAAGAAAATAAACATCAGCCATCCAAAATCTCCCCATCTAATCGAGATGGGAAGTTTACAACTTGAAATAATTAGTCTCAAGAGATTTCAGAGAAGTGGTAGAAAACCGACATGGCCTTGGTCTTCTACCACTAAGGTTTTATTTTTAAAATAAATGAATAAGTAGGTCTTGACTTGCCATTTTATAGCTTTGGTCTTAGTTCAACAAGAAGGAGCAAGTAGGAAGACTTTTCATAGCGAACCCCCAACGCAGTTGAAATCAGCATTAGCATAGAGCTTTAGAAATAAGATGCAGCATGCATCTTGCAGTGTGACCAATCCTGTTCTCCATCACAGAATTCTAGTTACTTGGTGAACCTGGGAGGCCACTCTCTGTCCCCATCCTGGACCCCCCCTATATTGCAGATCCTCCCTGACATGGGACCCTGGACCCTAAGGCTCAGAAGGGCTCAACCAGGACTTAACAGCAGTTTCCGAAGGGCCTTCACCCATCTCCCAAATCTGGCCAGACTGACAGGACCAGCAAGGGATGGGGCATGGGAAAGATTAGAGACGTAGAATAAAGCAGTATCGTGGAGAGCCTTGAAAGCCAATTTAAAATTGTTTTATCTTCTAATAGTAGGTCCTAGCTTAGCGGCCGTTACGCTTTGGATCTTGACTCTTTAGTAGGTTGTGAAATTAGTGTATTGGGTCACAACCACCATACCTGTTTTAATGAACTAGGATAGAGGAAAACAGAAAATAGAAACATGTCTTGCAGTTAATAAGGGTTTTTGTGAAACATTTGCTTTAGTTATATACAGTCAATTCTTGTTATCTGTAATAGTTCTATTCTATAAAGTCACCAACCCTGAATTAGTAATTACGAAGCCATTGCTTCCTGGGTAAATACAGGATTAGGTTCCTTTGTTCCTCTGGTCACAAAATTTTCATCAACAGATTAATACATACCCTTATTTTATGAGTGTTTCTGAATAAGGACACCTCATTTAATATATATATTGATTCATTAACATTAAACTCTAGGCTAAAGCACTATCACTGATACCTGAATGAAGCTTCTCGAACACATGTGTTTTTCTCCCTAAGGTACATCACAGCCTTCTTGTGCTGATGAACGCCAGTTACCACGTTAGCGCTGTGCTTGGGGGCCATTTTAAACTTGAAATCACCAATTTAAAAAAAGCACAAAAATGCAAAAAGTGTGACATTAAATAGGCCTTGAAAAGAACACTCGTTTACAGTTTGAGCTGAAATAAGAAGACAGAGCACCACTTTTTTCAACCTCAGCTGGGAACACGTATGTCAGGTGCTTACATTTTCATCACTGTACACGTCTGTGACTGACCACAAACATGCTTTGAGTATGGATTTGGGAGTTACAAATATATTTAGCAAGTAGGTGAATTTGCAGATATAGAATTTGTAAATAATGAGGATCAACTGTGTGTGCACGGACACACAAATATGTTTACTAGGTCTACAAGGTTGTAATGTAAAATGTATTTCTCAAAAGAAAGTTTTTTTTTTGTTTTGTTTTTTAGACATACATCCCTAAATAATCAAATTGCTGAGGAATGACACAGTGGACATTGCTTTAAGATGTAACCACTAAGCAGAATGGGGTTTAGAGGCAAGCAGCCTAGATTAGAAGACTTCTATAGTAATCTAACCCCATGAAGCAATGAGGGCAAAAGTGGGCCTGGGGACTAGGGATAATTAAGCCAAGAAAAAAAAATGATGACTTGGTTACAAATTGAGTATGTAAATAAAGAAGGAAAAATTGATGATTATTCTGAAAGTATCTGGTTTAGAAATTAGAAGGGTGGTAGGTATAGTGAGATATGTTGTATACTGGAAGGAATAGAGCTTTGGATGCTGGTGGAATCCAGTTCAGTCTTGCCTCTATGACTTTATTACACATGTGATCTTTGGCAAGTCATAAAGCCTTCTGCCTCATTTTTACAATCATGCCATTTAAATATCAGGTAATTACTACAATTAAATGAGTCAATATACTATATATGTGACATTCGTAGAATACACTAACACCCAGGATGTAGCTGCAATATAAATAGGTGCTATGTCTGTATTATGTGTAATTATTCATAATATGTTTATTATATTCACATATATATATACATGCAAAATATAGTATAATTACACCTGAAGAAATATTGGGACATCAAAGAAGGGTTACTCATCAGGCCATGAAATTATGAGATGGCAATAAAGTTGAAAGGCCAGGATTACTATATATGTGGATTATCAGTTTTTCAAAACACTAGAGTACAAGTAATATATATTAAAATTGCCTGATAAAATTTAAACTTTGTTTGAGAATGCACAGTAGGATCTTGTAACCAGCCATAATCAGAAATATCAATTTTTACCATATTGGCACAGCTCAAAATTGCTAGTAGAGAGGAACTTCTGGTTGATGGACTACCAAATACACAGGCTTTTACTGTAATTTGTTCTACAGGTTAAAGTTAGTATTGTCAAAACATGGCAGGCAACATTATAGATTTTAAGGCTTCAGTATCTTTATATCTCCCATGGTATTAAATATAATTCAAACACAGAAAAATGCTCTTCTCTCATTATGTCTTTGCTTTTTGATGAGAGATGAATAGGTCCACTTGAGAAATGATTGTATCGACTATTGTACTTTAAATTTTCTTTAGCACTACACAACTGGCAAACTGGCAAGAAGTGGTAAGTCAGTAAGTCCAAATAGACAGCCAATGTGTGATTTCATATCACAGATACTCTCTCTGCAGCACAATAGAACACAGGGTATTGAGTTATCCCCCAATGAATTAAAGTCCCTTTTGCATCCTTTACATACCGATTTCATTAATATTAATAATTACTAATTGTAGCTAACACTTGCCAATGCATAATGGAAACTACGTTTTTACAAATGTTGCCTAACAAAGACTGTTATTTTTTTCTGCATCTTGGTCGTGGCACACTCTGATAGCTTTCAAAGAGCAAGCCAAATTGTCAAATGCTGTCCGGTTTGTAATGTCATGTTCGATCTGGAGCTGAGAAGGGTGGCCTCAGGTTTCTGGCCTGTCTTTTATGTCACAGAAGCACAGAATTGTTAAACAATCTGGGGAAATTGAAAGCAGCAAATGTGCAATAAAATTTTCTCTGTAGTTCAGTGCTACATAACAAAAGAGACCCATAAACTTTCTTCCATTCTGGCACTGGATGGTGACTTATCTGTGGGAACAGCAGCCACAACAGATGTAAAGAAAAACAGATAGAACTTTTAAAAAATAAACTTCAGGAAATAGTTTTCATGTCTTTATTTTTCCCTGTGTTTCAGCTAATGCTCAAAGCTTTCCTAAAATGTTCTGTTGGAAATAGTGAGACTGGAATAAGCTCTATTTTCCATTTTGTCCCCTTGTTTCAGGGCTTTCAGATGTCCTTAATAACCCCAAACTTGTAGAATGTTTTAATTAAGGACTTCATTGTTAGAGTATAATAACATAAACCTAAGATCCCCCGTGATAATCATGCTATGTTTATGGTTTTACAACAAACTTGTGTTTTATCCTGTTGGTATATTTGTTGTATTTTGGCATTTCTCTTGACGATGCCTAAAAATGCCAGAAGCTTAAAGAAGAAGAGACAACCTCTGAAGCCACTTTGACTTTTCTTTTTTTCTTGACAAAGTTTTTTATCTCTGAAGAATTCAATTCAGTACATGGGTCTTTTGAGTACATTTATTGTACTAAAATGTCGTATTTGCTTAGATCAAATGAAGAGCAACTATACTGAAAATAAGATAGATAACTATTTTATAAAAGAATTTCTATCTTTCTCTGCCAAGAATGCTGTATGTTTTTTCCTTACGTTAGGAAATGGGGATAATTTTGACATTTTCCACTTTATTTTAGAAAGAGCTTGTACTTTTGTCTTGTAAGGGAAATAAAGAAAAGTAAGCATGGTAGGGCACAGTGGCTCATGCCTTTAATCCCAGCACTTTGGAAGGCCAAGGCTGGAGGATCACTTAAGCCCAGGAGTTCGAGGCTGCAGTGAGCTCTGAATGTACCGCTGCATTCCAGCCTGGATGATAGACCGAGACCTTGTCTGTGAGAAAAAAAAAAAAAAAAGTGTGAGCTATACTGTTTATTATGAAGCTTAATTTGCATTGAAGTTAAATGTTAATGGGATTCTTCTCTCTTCTTTTTCTAACTCAGAAATTTCATTCTAAAGCCATGAAATGGGCAGGGCAAGGTAGGAGTCTGCAGCAGGGAGGAGGGCGGGGTTTCTGGTGGCTCAGAGCAACATGTCAGACCCGAGAGGGTAAGTACCGATAGGGCACAGCCTGTCAAGGGCTGTCAGAGCCTTGGCAGGGTGATGAGGATGTTCACATGTGGGGACAGGCTGGTGTGGGGTTTTGGAGGACAAGCTGGGTGAAGCAGGTGTCTAGAGGTAGAGTGGATTGGAATATGGACCCCCAAAATATTTGTCCAAGTGCTAACTCCTGGTACCAAACTCTGTATTAATTTCTCAGAGATGCTGTAAGTAATTATGTTAAACTTGCTGACTTCATTCAACAGAAATGTATTCTTTCACAGTTCTGGAGGCCAGAAGGCCAAAATCAAAGTATGGGCAGGCTTGATTTCTTTAGAAGACTCCAAGGGAGAACTGTGTCTCCTCGCTTCTGGTGGGCATTGGCAATCCTTGGAGTTCCTTGGCTTGTAGGCACATCACTTCAATCTCTGCTTCTGCTTTCACGTGGGGCTCTTCCCTGTGTGTGTCTGTGTTGCCTCCTTTTCTGACTCCCATAAGAACACTTGTTATTGGATATAGAGCTCTCCCTAATCCAGGATGGTCTCATCTTGAGATCCTTATCTTGGTTATGGCTGCAAAGACCCTTATTCCAAATAAAGTCACATTTTGAAGTTTTGGATGGACATGTGTTTTGATGTGCCACTATCCAACACACTACCAAATGAAAGGAGGTGACTCATCACATGGTTTTAGAGATCAAGAGGAGTGAGAATGGCATCCCTGTGAAGGGGTGGTTTCTTGTGGGGCAAGAAAGCTTATGCAGGATAGGAGAGCATCTATGCTAGAGGTCACCCAGCATAAATGTCAGACCCCAAGTGGGGTGAGGAGGCGAGATGAGAGATTGGTTACATATGATAGACTGATCAAATAGGTAAGTAAGTATATTGAGGGTGAAGGGCCAAGATTCTGTCATAGAAGCAAATTACAAATATATAAAAGGAGAAAATTATGGAGTTGAAGGTACTGGTGTGAACTTATAATTTGTAATAAATAAAGATATATTAATACATGGAGATGTAAATGTATGTGTGTATTATAATACCTAGCTCTGTTCACTGAAATAGACTGGCAACATATCCACCGCAATAGCAACTAGCACATTTAGCATCCATATCTTGGCTTCTAAATACCAGTCTTCACCAAAAAGAGAGAGAGTTTTTCTGGGAAAATGACCAGATTTCATAGAGGGAGTACATTGTATAGAGGGAGTACAATATCAAGCATTTTATACCAAAAAGTAAGGAAGTCCTTTAAAAAAACAATGAAGTCATGTCAAAAGGGCATAAAAATCATCTTGAAGAAGCTCCCATAAGCCAAATTGGGAATAATTTGACCATGAAAATAAATGATAGTAATGTATTACAGCTCAATAAAATACAAAACCATAAGTCCATCATTATCAAAGTGAGTAAATTGAAAATTTGGAATGAATGAGATATTTATATACTTTCAAATCTGTCCCCCACAAAATATTTACTAATCACAAGAGGGAAAATAAATACATTTTGAATGGAGAAACATGGCAGATGCCACCTGAACTGAGTGATCAAAGTGAACATCGTCAGTGATAGCATAAATCAAGATTACTTGTCACCTACCTGATAGAATGCAATGAGAAACATCTGTGATATTCCTGTCAGATGCATCATCTAAATCTCATCATGCGAAAGCACAATAAAGCCAAATTGAGGCATATTCTACAGAATAACTGGATGGTAATTTTCAAAAGTCTCAGTTTTGAAAGCCAGGGAAAGACTAATGAACTAATTAAGGCATCTAGAGAGACATGATAACTAATTGCAATGTGTGTTTCTGAACTGGACCCTTATTTTGACAATCAAATGGGGTCTGAAAATTAGAGAGTAGTAACATCTCACCATATCAATTGCTTAGTCAATACCCAGAGCAGAGTAAGCACTCAGTTTATGATGATTTTGACAACAATGATAATGACAATGATCACTGAAGGACCGCATGAAAAAATATACCTAGTATCTATCTACTTAATATCCTGGAATTCTAGAACAGGAATGTTCTGGATTCATGTGCAAAAAAACAACTGGTTCCCCAGGTCTAATCAAATTAAATTGAGAGGTAAATTTAAATTATATATATTTTTTATCCAACAGAGAAATAAAAAGCACTTTGCCAAATAGTTAAACACTTGAGAACCAGATAACTAAACTCTTCAGACCTAGGAATTCTAAAATTAAATTGTTTTCATGAAAGTCAAAATTCAGTCTTCTTCCAACAACCAAAGAAGAGGAATGAATATGAAAAGAGAGGCTGGTTCATTGAACTGTAGAGCTGGAAGAGATAATGGTAAATGTGCCAAGATCCTTCGATAATGCCAGTTTCGAAGACTGAGCCCTAATTTTCCAAGGGAAAAATAAATCCCAGTGTCATAATTGCATTCCTGTGTAGATCTTTGCTTAGGTTTTCTAAAGTTCAGAGCTAAAAGTATATCATCCTTTGTATTTAAGGAAGTCTTATGGGTATCCTCACTTACTCATGGTGCAATAATATTCCTGCAGATTCTACATCTCCATCCATGGGCCACTGTTTCAGGAATCTCAGCTAGTGCAACACAACCTCAACCAACAAGAGTATGCAGAGAAAGGAGTCCCCTACCTGCCACAAAGCTGTTGTCTGAAAACTATCTCATATTGTCTCAAGTTGTCATTCGGTGTGAATTAGACCTTTTTAACATGTAATCTGCAACATGCTTCATTGTCTAATTTTCCACAGCCCCTCATATAAGAAACTGTATTATTGGTATAATCATCATGGTGAGGAAGTTGATATGTGGGGGAGAGATGACAGGAGCAGAGAGTAAGTCAGAGCTGGCTGCCTGACAGATAAAAAGGAAATGCCAAAAAAAAAAAAAAAAAAAAAAAGACACAGAAGAGGACTTAGTTGACCACACAGAAAAGGAAAGTACAGGTAAGACAGCAGTAGACTAAGATTCGTAAGACTCAAGTTCTAGTCTTATTTATTAGCTATGGGAGGCCTTGAGAGAGTTCTAGAATTAAGTGATCTCTCTTTATAAAGTAGGAACAGTAATAACTTCCCTGGCTATCTCACAATGCTGTAGTAGTAAGAAATAATTTTATAATTAAAGACTATTTTAGGGCTGATTACATTTTTGGGCAGTGGCTCATGCATGTAATTTCAACACTTTGGGAGGCCAAGGTGGGCGGATTGCTTGAGCCCAGGAATTCAAGACCAGGCTGGGCAACATAGACCTTGTCACTACAAAAGAAAAAAAATTAGCTAGGCATGGTGGCATATGCCTGTGGTCCCAGCTACTCAGGAAGCTGAGACAGGAGGATCGCCTGAGCCTGGGAGGTCAAGGCTACAGTGAGCCATGATCATACTACTGCACTCCAGCCTGGGAAACAGAGTGAGACTCTGTCTCAAATAAAGGAATATTTTACACTTCAAGGTTCTATACAAATGTAAAACATCATTCTATTACATATTTATAATGCTGATTATTCTTTAAATGACTTTAAAATGTTAATCTCTGCTAAGCCCACAGAGAAGTATATAACAAATTGGTGAAGTATTGGCATTAAAGATAGTCAAAATAAAACATAGAAATTACGGTAAATAATTTAACTGGTAAAATAATCTAAGTGGTAGTTGTCAGGTAAGTGGAAATTCAATCAGCTGATTGTTTAGGATTCTTGGTTGTAAGTGACAGAGACCTAACTAAAAGTATGTGAAGCACATAACTGAGAAGTCTGTGGTATGGCTTAGCAGTCAGAAATGGGAAAATATTGGGACCAGTTCATGTTTTATTTACATTATCTTTGTTCCCAGGCAGTCTCTGCATGTAAGTGACAAAGATGACTATCTGCAAATATATATACTTTTTTGAAGGGCTATCTCAAGCCGTTCTAGAGAAGCACTGAAAGCTTCTTATACTTCAAGATAGTTTGCTTTCCCTGATTTGTGATGAGTGGAACACTGAACAGTGATATAGAATAATATTCTGTAGTTAAGGGGTTGTTGTAGTATGGCCAATGGGTGCAATCCAGTCCTCAGCCTGATTTTGCAAATAATCTTATAGAAACACAGCAACACCCATTTATTACACCTTGTTTATGGCTGCTTTGGGGTTACAATGGCAGAATTGAGTAGTTGTGACAGAGATCACTAGGCTCACCACATCTGAGATATTTACTGACTGACCCTTTATAGAAAGTTTGCTGCTCTTAGAGGAATGTGTATTTCTAGTATCAGCAATACACTTCTTGAATTTGTTTTGTTTTCTCATCTTTACAATGATAGTTGCAGACTAGTTGATCCTTGTGACTTGTTTTTGAATGCCACTGTGTATTCTGTCTGTCAGGGCTCACTGATTCTGTTTCTTATGGTGCTGAATGCACAATTTGATGCCCTGGAATTTCCTTCTGTCTTCTGCTAAATTTATGCTTCCTTAGATAGTTAAAATCCTGTTCTACCTTAGAAGTCTCCAGAGTTATTTTCCTAAATTAAGAAGAACTGGCTTTGAAGTTAGTCATTATGCCACACACAACGGTTGAAAAGAGCATCTCTTTTATGCACTGTGTGTATTTCAGCATCCATTCAGCTTCTTAGGTAGCAAAGGAAGAGTTTTCCACAGTGTATTTTATCCACATTTGGGTCAGAAACTCTTCCTTACCACGGAGGATGATGGAAGAAAGATATGCGATGGTAACAGTAGGCAAGAGATGTAATAATCACAAAATTTGAGGCCGGGCCTGGTGACTCATGCCTGTGATCCCAGCACTTTGGGAGGCTGAAGTGGGTGGATCACCTGAGGTCAGGAGTTCAAGACCAGCTTGGCCAATGTAGTGAAACCCCATCTTTACTAAAAAAATACAAAAAGTAGCTAGGTGTGGTGGTGCACATCTGTAATCCCAGATACTCAGGAGGCTGAGGCAGGAGAATAGCTTGAACCAAGGAGGCGGAGGTTGCAGTGAACTGAGATTGTGCCACCACTGCATTCCAGTCTGGGCGACAGAGTGAGACTACGTCTCAAAAAAAAAAAAAAAAAAAAAAAGAAAAAAAAATCTAGAAAAAGATCTCCAAGATTCAATCCTTTAATTATTTCTTTTAAAAATGAGAAAAATGACTCCTGGTTAGCTTTTACCTTCTTTTTCAACTGTTTTGGCAATACTTTCATATTGGGCTCTTAAAGTCTCAAGTAATAGGTTTTAAAAACCTCAGATAATAAAAGTATAAAAATAAAACATATTAAAGACAAAACCCAAGAATCAGCTTCCTCTTCCTTCTTTACTCTTCCATGGGTGTTGGCTCTAATTTCTCCATCTAGTTAGGCAGTTCTTTGCTTTTTATTGCTTGTTTGTTGATGACATTTGCCATTTGTAGCAATAGTAATAGAATCATCTATATGTTTATGGCCTTGTTGAATGTAGAAAAAGGATAGTGGCATTTTCTAATTGTGTAACCCTGTAACACCTTGACGGGGACTGTAGATCATATGCTAGACCTTTTGTGTTTGTTCATGGTGGGTAGATTGCTTTAATATACTTACCACATTATCCTAATTGCCAGCCTTTTGGGGAGGGCTATATATCCTTGCTAAGATGGTAGCATTTTTGTTTTAACATAGAGGTGACCCAAGGTAGACATAAGTGTTGTTCATTTTTGCCTAATACTAATAAAAGTACCTAATTGTTGAAGCTTCAAGCTTGAATCTAGGCATTTTATGTCATTTCAAGTACACCCTAGCATTTTAAAGCATAAATATCCTACTATCCTCAACAACTGTAGCACAAAAATAAATATTTTAACAAGAAAAAAGCATGCCATGACAAGCTGTAACTTAATAAAGAAAGACAAGGAATGGTCTCTATAGACCAAGAGAAAATGGGGCCTCAGATATATTTATACCAAAGGAATGTTATGAATGTAAAAAACAGCTTGACCGTCACCCTTACCAAAAAAAACTCCAAAACCCTATATTTTGTTATCACAAGACTGTTTTAGTGAATAAAATAGTATGAATTGGTTTTACTTGTTTCCATTTAATACTTATTAACTTTATAATTATATTACCTGAGGGTTTTAACTTCAAGTACAATGTGATGACTATAATAGTTTTACACAAGGCAAATGGGAAAAACAGAAGTAATTTCTTTTAAAAAGTATGAAATATCTAAAAGGTATGACTCTTCAGTACATTAGCTTAGGTGAGCCAGACATGTAACTTCTCTTTCCATATTTAAGCCTAATGTTGCTTTTGTGCCTCTGAGGGCTTGGAGTTTCCATGCCTTCTTAGGACATGCCACCCTCTCCACACCTGGATGTGTTCACCAACCCAGAAGTTCTTGGAACCCCATCATTTGGGGTTTTTATGGAGGCTCCATTAAGTAGGTATGACTGATTAAATCACTGGCCATTGGTGGTTGACTCAGTCTCCAGCCTCCCTTCCCCCTCTGGAGGTGAAGGGGTGGGAAGGTGAGGCTAAGTTCAAACCCTCCAATCACAGGGTTGGTTCCTCTGCAACCAGCCTTCATCTTGAAACAATTCAGGACCCACTGAGAGTCACCCCAGTAGCATATTCAGATGTGATTGAAATGGGGCTTATTATGAATAACAAAAGGTATTTCTCTCACTCCTATTACTCAGACAATTACAAGGGTTTTAGAAGCTCTTGTGCCAGGAACTGGGAACAAAGACGAAATACATATGTCTTCTTCTATTACAGTATCACAGGTGTGATACAGTACGTAAATGGAGTCTCAGAGAGTCCCCCAGAGTATTCCATGGATCCACAAAATGAAGAATAAATAGATGGTTCTTCCCATGATCAAAAGTGGCCTAAAAATACTTGAGAATGAGTCATAACTAAAAAGGCCCTATAGTAGAAAAGAATGCACAGAGGACCCAATGTAAAAGAAGGCATCCCAGTCTCAGCTAGTGTGGATGCATGCCAGTGCAGAAAGATGCTAGTGTGGCTACATGGTGCACTGAAGACCAAACTGCTGCATGGCCCCACATCCTTGATACCTTAGCTCTATATCATCCCCTAAAACTTAGGTGTCATGACATTCAGGATATGCTACCCCATAATTTTTTAAGCTAAAGGAATTTGAGAAAACAGAAACAGGAATGTAATTGTCCAATGGGTTCTACCTGCCCTCTGCACAGACAAAACCAGTTCACTGAGACCATGGTATTGCAGTTAAGAAAGAGTTTAACAGGAGGCTGGCCACATGGAAGAATTACAGTTACTACAAATTAGTCTCCCTGAAGCCTCAGAGGTCAGGGTTTTTCATGGATAGTTCAGTGAGCAGGGGATTGTGGGGTAAGTGCTGCTGACTGGTTGGGGATACAATCATAGGGGTGTGGAAAATGGTCCTTGTGTGTAGAGGACTACGTGCTTGCAAACAGGGTGTTCCCCGTAAGTCCTGCTCTCGCAAACGAAGCAGGGCGTTCCCAGTAAGTCCTGCTCTTGCAAACGAAGCAGGGCGTTGGGGGCTTGTTTAGGTGTAAACATCCTGAAAATCCAGAAAGTCAGGGAAAGGTCAGAAAAACAACAATGTGTCTGGTGTCTTGTGACTTGGCAACATTCCACAAACTGTACAAACTGTATAAAATAAAGCAGAGCGCGCCATTCGAGGCGGCCGCCATGTTTGTCTTGTCTTGTGTTGTCTTGTGTGTTCATTCCTTTGTTTAGGAAACACGCGGACCCCAACATTGTGTACTGAGTCACCTCTGGTGGGAAGCCACGGGACCCGTTGAGTCATGAGTCACGAGTCTGGCTTGGGTCAGTCTGAAAAACATCTTAAAAGACCAATCTTAGGTTCTAAAATAGGTGATATTATCTGTAGGATCAATTGGGAAAGTTATAAATTATATGACCTCTGACCCCATGACTTCTGAGCAGTAAGACATGATAGAAACTAAACCTACATTTTATCAGAACTTGGGCCTCTTCCATAATCCTAATCTTGTGTCCTTTCATTAAAAGGCTGTTTGGTAACTGCCCTCAAGCAAGGAGGGGGTCAGTTTTAGGGAGGTGCTATTATTATCCTTGCTTCAAAGTTAAGCTATAAACTAAATTCCTCCCGTAATTAGCTTGGCCTACACCCAGAAATGAGCAAAGAGCCAGCCTGTGACGTTAGAAGCAAGATGGAGTTAGTCATGATAGATTTCTCTTACTGTCATAATCTTTACAAGGGAGGTTCCAAGAAGGTCATTTTACCTTTCCCCTCACCCTTCTCATGTGACACAGGTCATAAAGCCTAGGAAGGATTTTCTGACCTTTCCCTGAAGCAGGTCTTAAGACCCTCATTAGGGAGGTACCATTTCTAAACCAAGAGAAAAGGCACATCCTTATGTCTGACACAGAGAAGAATCTGAACACACAGGCCTTGCTAAGTTCCCCTCCGTTTATTTTCATTAGATCATGCCCCTTTGTTCAATCCTGTTTCTCCACAACTATCAATTTCTTCATCAAGCCTAGCATAAAAAATATGGGTTTCACAGTTTCTTTGGGTCTTCATTTCCTTAAGAAGTCTCCTGTACCATGTAAAACTTAAATAAGTTTCTCTGTTTTTCTCTTGTTGATTCTGTCTT